TATGCAATGATTAGGAGTTAAAAACACCGACAAAATACTGCTAAAAATATCTTCGAGAATTTGTAAGCCTAATACGCTAAAAGCTCGAAAGCAGACAGCTTTTTTCTAAGGAACGCTGCCAGCAACGACACGGCCCCGGCGCGCGGTGGCCATAGAAACATCACGTAATCGAGACACGAAAATAATGGATGATTATAACGATTCTAAGGTCTGTTAATAAGGACAGATTACAATTGTGAATGACAAGGCGACGAAGCTGGGCTTGGGGTCAAGCCATCCCTTCAGCCCCATCCGTGACACCCATATTTTGCGTCCAAAGGGAATTTGGCCAATCCGTCAGTGTGGCCCAGAAGAATACGAAGAAGAAGAAGAAGAAGAAGAAGAAGTAGAGGGCAGAAGAAGAAGCGCCCCTTCCTCCCGGCTTGTCGAGCCAAGCTTCCGCCTTGTTTTCGGGCGGCTATTAGTTGTGAGAAGTCTCGGTTTTGAGCAGCACCCCCGGACGCGTCTCAGCGAAAAAGGAGAAGAAGCACGAGAAGAAGAAGCAGTAGCAGGAGGCGAAGACCCGTGATTTGAGCCTAGCCCTTCAATTAGTGGGCTACCACAAGCCCCTTCCGGCCAAAACTGACGCCTGGCTGGCAGCGCAGAGGCTTTGAAGGGTCTTCTGAATACTTAAATTAATTTGAATGGTTTATTCAAAGGCGTGGTCAAATAAATGCAGTTTTTTTTTAAAAAGGTTATGGATTAATAGAAAGCTACGCCCGAATAGTTTTTTCCCTTTAAAAACCGTGTCCAGCCGAAAAATAAAGCTACAAAAACAGATTTCATTAAACCAACACCACTTCATAAAAATGTTAACAATATCTAGCGTCAACGCCATGAGCTACGTGCTCCCAATCTTCAGCAGAAACTTGAAAAGGCCTTCCAGCCGAAAAGCTGAATTCTAGCCGAGCGAGCATGAGCAATGATCCCCATTGTCCTCGCCACAGCCCCAGCCAGGGCCGCTTTCATCGAACCCAACGGCTTTTCCTCTTGTTTCGTCGCTTTCTCCACGAACTTTTGAACGGCTTGCTGTTGGAGAACTGGTGCTTAGAAAACTGGTTATTCTGGTGGTTAAGGGGTTTCGTTTTTTAAAAGAGAACAGCCCTAAAAACGCGAAAAATAGAACCCATGACAAGCACGTAGCGACAAAACAACCTTGGTAAAAAAATATTTCCACGCAAAGACTCATACGTTGAAAAGTGCAGAGCCTTCCTTCAATTCTGGCGAATGCGAGTTGCGTCGTCAAATTTTTTCAACGTGTTCCCAAGCCCGAGTCCGCCAGCCAAATGGGTGAATTCTCGAAAATAGTTGAAGCCGCGCACCCCAAAAACAAAAGCAATTGTCGGTAGGGGTGGTGCTGGTGGTGGAGGATCGATGCGAAGACCAGGAATCCCGACGGGGGATTCCCACGGGGATCCCGCACCTCCCCACGGCCAGACGCGACGCCTACAAATTTATGCAAGTGGCCATGGGGCCGCGCGGCGTCACCCTGCCACGCAACTGTTTTTTTTTGCAAAGCAAGCGGGTCGGACGTCGCCTGAATCCCGGCATGGTTCCATACGTGTCACGTGCACTTCTCCTACAGTAATTGCGAATGGGAAAGGCTGCAAAACATTTATTAAAGGTGATTTTTTGAGGGGCAGTCGTGGCTCATCCGGCGTTTCGATGGCCTTCGCAATTCTCTGAAAAGTCCAAATTATTTACAGCTGGACGTTGAAGCCATTTTGTAGGCTACTTTCCAGAGGTCCTACCGGGTTCAGCCTCAGATTCTGGCGGCTGCATGTCAGAACACGTGGGAGCTCGGCCGTCTTCAGTGCAGGCTTCCTTATCCCGGCGTGACCTCTAAAATTCGTATTCTATTTTTCTCCCGAAGACCCAATAAAAAGCCAAATGCCCACCAAAATCTGATAGCCAGCGTATAACATGTAGACGAAAAGGATCAGCGTTAAAAGCTCGAAGATGGCGGCGAATAGTAGGACTAGAAAAGATGATTGCAGCAGAGCCTGGTAAACTACCTGCAAAAAGCCCATTATCCATCGTCGATACTAGTGAGGGCCAACCGTAAAATATGTATAAAATGTAATGAGGTTCGCTAGTTCTGTGCCTGAAAGCAAGCGTCAATGCAAAGTGGCAATTCAAGGCACATCAGCAAAATTGATGCACTTTCCCCCAAACTATCAATTTGAAAAAAACGTTCGTCTACAAATCTTTATGACAAAATCTTTCCAACCATTAGTGACGTGTAATGTGTGCATTTGCGAGCAAGTCAGGTACAAAGCAGTGGAAGATGATAAGTGAATTAAAAAAAACCGGGGATACACTATTAAGATATAGAATCAACACAGAAATCACAAAGCACGCATCCGGATGGGCAGCAACAGGAGCCACTGCACGCTTATTCCTCGTCGGCCATATTGAATGGGATGGCGCCTTGCTGCTTCTTGCGGAGGAGTGCGGCTGGGCCAGCGGCTTTGCGACGTCCTTCTTTGCCGAACAACTGAAAATGGATAGTAAAATATATAAAAGAATAAAAAATAGATTGAGAGAAAATAGAAACACCTTCTACAGGGTGTCTTGATAAAAAAAGGCCACGCTGACAGTCCAGCATTTCGGCTTTGATCGACTTGAAATTTTGGAAAGAGGTGCACACAGATATTTAAAAATGTTCACAGATATCCCGCAAACAACTGACAGCAGTTTTATAGTTCCTACGAAAATCCCGTTTCTACAAATTTTTCGGCTCCCAATTTCGAAGCGGAATTTTCTTCGGTGGAAAATTTCCTAGGATCAGAAAGGCCGGACATAATTTTTGCCATACATTCCGAGGAAATCCCGGTTAAAAACGTAAATTTACGGGAACCAGTTCAGTCTGAAGGTCCCAGCCACGTCAAAAAAAAATTTCTTACCATGGGTGCCAGATCGTCCTCAAAACGAGCTCCCTGAGCTAATTTTGTGTGCTGCGTTCCAATCAAACTTTTAGAGGACAAAAATTTAAATTTTTGCTCCAAACCATGAAGAGTGTAGTACGTTGTCAGTATGTCAGAGAGCTCGGAACTATTCAAGTTTTTTGAGGTGATTTCTGGGCTACATGAACAGTTTTTCGCGGCTGATCACGCGCAATGCTTTACTCCTAAGCCAAGCTAAGCCGAAGCTCAGTTAAATCGAGCTTGAACAGAGCTAAGCCAAAGCCAAAACCAGTGAACTATGAAACGCTAAGCTACAGCGAAGGTACTTCACACCGCCCAGAAGCTGAGCCTGAGCTTAAGTCTAGGCTAAGCTACACCAAAGCTCAAAGAAAAACTAAGAAAAAGACCGAAAATCGCCAAAAAAAACCAGTTTATTTTTGCGATAACTCGAAAACTATTGTAGCTAGCGGGCTGAACGTTTCGGTGAACATTTTGAACCCCTCTATGCACCTCTTTTCAAAATTTCAAGACGATCAATGGCTAAATACCGGCGCTCTATAGCTGAAGCAAGATTTTTCCAAAAAATCACCTTTGACGTGCATGGGCTGAGCATGCTGTCCGACGGGCTGCTCATGTGCATCTTGGCCAATTCCGCCTGTTGCTCGCGTCGCATGCGCACGGCCTCTGGGGTCTCGAGTTTCGGCAACTAAAACATAATTTTGAAGAGAAACCGCGATCGCACTCACCGGAATCTTTTCACCGCTTATGGCCATGTTTTCCTTCTTCTCTTCGGCGACAGCCTAAAAGCCCAGTTTTGATTCAATCGCAAGCGCCTTACCGCGGACTGAATTTCGGGAGTGATTCCGGTGAATTTACGGCTGTTGATGAGTGCTTCGTCCGGCTTCGTTGGTGTCTTGAGCAATGAGGGGTCGATGGGGTGACCAGTTTGCGGAGGAGTGCTTTCCATGGTTGGGATCTAAACGTAATACATTGTCGAGATCAATCACGATTTCTAGTAAGAACAGAAAAACAAGGATGTGGAAATCGAATTCCAAATTCGCGCATAGTAACGGCTCGGCTAACAGATTTTCGGCAACAAAATAGAACAGTCAAAAACGGCAATGTCCAAAAATGGGATTGCCTATGCGTTAGTACGGTACCATAGTAGCGCCTCGGAACGGATTCTGGACCTTATTTTCAAAATTGGTTTTATCTATAATGATAATTTTAAATCAAGGGAGAAAGAAAAAACGCAAATCGAAAAGCTACGAATATCGAAAATGAGGAAAGTTCCTTTTTTGAAAATCGAGATAAATGGGGCCGCTTTCGAAAAGGCGGGCTTCCCGCGGATTACGAAAGGCAACGTTCACTCCAAAGTACGCGGGACGGGAAGAAGGAAACGTAAACTAAAAAAACCAAAATATATATAGTTCCATAACAGAAATTATATGGTTTTCTTTGTAAGTTTGCAAGGTTTTGCAGTTGTCCCGGCGGGCGAATTACTTTTCCGCCAGCGGTGAAAATGCTTGTAATAGCTCTAAAAAAGATTTCCTCGAATCGAAGAAGGATTTAGACGTTTCAGTAGTTATAACAAAATTATGATGACTTCAAAAAAACTCTGGAGGAACAGGTGTTGCGTTCGAATAGGTAAAAAGGACCTTTTACTTACTTTTACTTTTACTTTGACTTTTTGACCCTTTTGAATTGGCGGAAACATCCTAGTCCTTGTTGGCTGGATGGCTGCATTGCAAGCAACATCGTCGGAATTCGAGTTTATTAATATTAAGCAATTACATTTAATGGTATATCCCGTAACAGAGTTTTATGGAGCTATTGCGAGTATTTGGCGAGTTAAAGAGATCATTCGGGTATCAGGAAACGGCTTTCAATTGTTAGGATATTCACAGGGGCACAGGAAAGTCTCCTTTGTCATGCGACGCGTTCAGCGGCTCGTCCTGGAGGGAGCTCTCCGATTGTTCATAGTCAAATACATGGGTGACGCGCGAGACGAACGCCTAAGAATTCTTGAATAGTGTACGAATTAGGCGAAACCTTCAATGTGCGTCTGTAGTCGGTGATGAAGTAGGCTATGATCAGCGGATCTAGCACCTAAACCGGTGTTTTTTTGCCTGACTATCCCGTGTTTCTCACCGGGAATACCACAAATAGGGTGAAGAGCGGGAAATATGCAACGCCTACGTCAATCTAAAAATCGTGATCCGTGTTCGGGTTATTTAGCTTACCTCAAACACTGAGCCGAGCGCAAAAACGATTGCCGGGATGAAAATGCACACCATTGGGACGGTGGTCTGAAATTAAAGTTGATGCCAAGATGAAATTTCGGGGCGCACCTGTACGACTAATGCTCTAAACAATTGACGCTGCTGCCGGCGCGTCCTTTCAGAAATTACGGCCATCTAAAAACATTGCGTAGCTCGACCATGCGAGATAATTTGTTAGAAATTTCGGGTACCTTTAAAAATTTGTGAATCCCAGTGCCGCAATACAAAATCGTCGCAAACGCGCCGACATTGACGGCCAGCGCCGTGGCGGCGAGGCCCAAGAAAAAGGTGTTGTACTCGCGATCGCCATCTATGGTAGCTTTCTGAAAAGCGCTGTGATTCTGAGGAATTACTTACGCTAATTGGCGCGCCAAGTACGGTCACGTCCTGCTGTGACAACCCCATTGAGGCGAGGCGCTCGGCTGAAAAGTTGTGATAATCTCGTGGGATCTCGAATTTTTGTGGTTCTATTCGTTCCGAAAACTCACCAAGTTGGGGTACCAGCAGTTTGCCAGGGGTGGAATACAAAACCGGAATCACGAAAAGAGCCAGCGAGAAGCCGGCATACAGCGAGAATAGCAGGAAAAGCAGATGCCATGATTTGAATAAGAATGCCCACTCCGTTCTAAAATTCCCTAGTTTGCTTTGAACAGTATTTCAGTAGTGTTTTGACTAAAACTGTACTGCCAAAAAATTCTGTTTTTTAAAATTCGAAATTTTGGTAAAAGTTCGATTGTTTTACGTAGTCTTTAAGGACTTACTAATTACTTACTTTTTTACTTACCCCCCCCCATAATGCAAAAGAACCTTTGAATTAGCCTTACTTGACGACCATTACATAGCGATAGACGAAGTGTAGGGTAAGGCAGAGGACAATCTGAAAGCACGCTATATTTGGACACTAAATTTAACGATTTTATACACGTGTTGATAAATACAATTTTTTTTCCTTAAGATATAGAGCGAAAAATGACCCTATTAAGCTAGAACTAACCTGGGATAGAAAAGATATCCATAAAAACATTAGCGGCGGTCCGGCAGGATGGGCTCCCATCGCACCATAGCCGAAAAATACGACCCAGTTGCCGATCACGAGTAGGATCTGAATAGCTAGTTTTTCACTTTCACACACACTCAAAAATCTCTACAGGGTGTGCCAAAAAAGACCCCCTCTAGCGGTCCGCAGTCGTGTCCGATTTTTACGATTTAGGTATCTTTCGAAAGTTCTCGACGAGCTGGGGAGATATGTTCTCTCCGATTTTTAAAAGTCCAAAATTTTTCGCCCGGTTTTCGTCGTTTCTTGGGCATAGATTACGCAATTTTGGGCAAATTTGGAAAATTTGGAAAATGGGGTTTTTGTTAAAAAAACTTGCATGGGAAAAGCATCGAAAATTCTGCCCATTTCGCAAAAAATATTAGTAAATGTCATAAAAATTCGGGAATTTCGGAAATCGGAAAGAGGATATCTCCTCGGCTCGTCGAGAGCTTTCGATAGACACCTAAATCTTAAAAATCGGACACGACTGCGGACCGCTAGAGCGGGGTTCTTTTTTTGAGACACCCTGTATTTATAAGTTACTCACCGGTTCCATGAGCATATGCGTAATGGAAAAGCCGAGTTCACATAGCGAGAACAGAAGCAGAAGATATCTAGAGATCGAATCTCGTAAGGGTGTCAAAAATTACTTGCATTACTTTACCTATGTCTTTTTATCCATTTGATTACTTACTTATATCCATGCAAAACCTTGGATTTTGTCGTCAGGATGAGACAGATGAGGGATAGGTTGAAGATGAGCGTGACGAGGCAGAGGCTGATTTCGATCCAGTGCGTCACGCCACGCACCCACGACGGATCAACCATCCACTGGTGTCGCCGTTTGAAGCTGATAGACTAGAAGGGGACGCTGTGAAGTGCCGTCAATTACAGGAAATTATTTAATTGTGGCTCGGAAAGGGAAAAAGGGGAAAAGAAAAAGAGGTCGGCTCTCCGAAATTGCCATATAGGGTTTTCGGAAACGCCCGTAGAAAAGTCGCGCTCGCATCCGACTATTGTGGAGCTGTTTTTCCAAATGCGAAACGGTGAGATATTTTGCGTCTTCGCATCAATTTAGGTTCTTTTCTTGGCGAAATTCGTGGAGGTTTTTTCAGCGTTGTTAGGAAATTTTTTCCGGGGGTGGCGCTTTATTTACATCCGACATCCGGCAGCCGATTACCCGCGCAAAGGATAGTAAAACGGCAATATAAATTCGGCATATTTTAGGGGTTACTTTCAAAATGTCGAAAACCTTGATGTCGAAATTTACATAAGCTAATTTCCCGGAAAAAAACCCTGAATCCTATGCAAAAAAATGCCGACTCTCTGAACCTCGACATTTTGATTTTCGACATTATCTTTACCGACATTATGGAATTTCGACATTAGCATAGCAAATCCTATTTTAGCAATCTTGAATGCTAGATTGTAACGTACTGAGTGCTAAAATGTGCAAAATTTAAAATCGATCCTTCCGATACTGGACAAATGTTGGCGTGACCTTTTTAATGGGACCTCCTGTAAGCCGGTAACGACTGCCATAAATCTCGGGGTAAAAAACAATTGCTAGTGGGTAGCAAGCCAGCGAACAAAATTACCAAACTCTGTCGAGTCAGAGCTAGAGACTGGAACCAAGTAAGAATTCCCAGTTGGTCGGATTAAATGTGTCGACCAACCCACACCCACCACAATGGCTTCCGGGATAGAGAGAGAGAGAGAGAGAGAGAGAGAGAGAGAGAGAGAGAGTCAAAGTAGCCGAAATGGACCAAGGGAGAATCGGCCGGCCCAATTAGGCGGGATCAGGCATTATGGCAGGGGGGAGAAGAGGGGCCGTGTTTTGAGTTCAAAAAGCCAAACTGGCAGTTGTTCGATTGATGGTTGGGCTGGAAGGAGTCATGTGAAAACTTCACAAAATACACAGGAACAGCGCAGCTTCCCCCTCCCCAGCCATAAGTCCTATGAATGCGCCGAGCATCTCAAAATGTTGGCCATGGTCGAAAATCTAAGGAAAACTTGTTTCCTTGATGCAAAAATTCCTAGAATTATTTTACAAGATTTTTAAGGTTGAACAACTAAGTAATTGGACATTGCTAAAAGGCCCAAATTTCGATCACGGCTCCCAATTGACCTGAAGAACTCGGAAGCATACCGAAATGTAGCCCTTGATCTGGATAGTAAGAATACAGCACATTCTATTCGAAAAATTGCCAATAATGTGAATATTTGCGTTTGAAACCTGGGTAAACGGCACCACCGCGGCTTCTTTTCGACTTTTAAAACCTTGCAAAAACGTTCTAGCAACTTTTTAGGTAAGAAAACAACTTTGCGAAACGTTTTTGACTATCGCAAACATTTAGAGATTTTCGGCACATTAATAGGACGTATCGCTGAGGATATGGGCGGGGCAGAATGCACTCAAACCGAATCCACTTTAATTCCCCCTATAAGCCGAGCATAGTTATTTCCCTAGTTTGTCAACAAAAACAAGCAACCTGAAAATAGCCGTGAGCAATATCAGGGGCACGTGGCCCGCTCCCAAACCCTTGAAACGGAAGAATGAGGGGCGGAAACGAGGGTCGGCACCAAGATTGGCCAATTATTTGCCGGGGCCAGCAATAGCAAGCGGGAGATTAGACCCAAAGCAACAACATCTGGAAAATGTATATTTTCGAGCAGCTCAAATGTGCCGCGACACAAATTAGCCGACATTATCAGATGCCCTCACTGTGGGCAACGTTGTTTCAGATAGTATCGAAGTTAATAGAAAAGAGGGTGCTTTTCAAATAGGCGGGGGGAAGATTTAGGCGGGGGAACCAATTTTTTTTGTCGGCCCTGGTGGGGATAGTAATCAAATATAAAGTGTTTTCACATTGTTTTTAGCAAAATTTAAGCCTATTTGAATCGGAAAAACTTTTTAAAAAGTTAGAAAAACGCTTGAAAAAGGCGAAAATTTGGTCATTTTTGGGCCGAAAAAATTGCTTTTTCGACTTAAAATTAAATTTTTTAATTAAGTTTTGTAAAGTTTTTATGTTTAGGAATAGCTATAAACAATTTAGAAACACTTCCACTATTTATATAAAAAAGATAGGCTTGGGCGGAAAAAAGTTCGGTTTCCCCCCCGCCTATTTGAAAAGCACCGAAAAGAGCAATAAAGCTATCTAGTAAAGACATATGACCCTCCAGAGACTGGACCCTAACGATGTACCCAGAAGCCTCAACGTTTTGGGTGAAAAAGTAGCCAGGCACTCCCCCAATGACGGGTGGGGGCAAGGGCGTTGCAATTCGATACGAGTGTCCGACAACAGCCTGGCATTTCCATTTGCAAACAAACTAAACTTCGAACCAAATGTAGCGGGGTACAGTGCTCTTCGAGAACCTAACATGGCCCTGGGTTCAAAAGCCATCGCTGTCCGCGAAATTTTATGTAAAACCGCCCCGAGCCCCAGCGACCGTCACGTGACGCAACCCCGTGAACACATCAAATGATCGTTTTCGACAAAATGTCTGTTTGTTTGTGTACACCCATCATAGTGCCTTGACTTACAGTGAAAACAGAATTTATCGGCCAAGCGCCTTTCGCCAGTAAAACAACGAATTTTGTCAGCAAAGAAACGCTGTGAAGGGAAAATTGACGGAAGGTAAGATCAGTAGCAAGGAAGAAATATAAAAACAACGATTGAAACAGTACTTCATTCCACGACGTCGCCCTTGGCTCCGAGACGCTGCGGATCCTGGCTGGGGTAGTAGATGGAGGAGCTTCCGGCGGGCCCAGAGGCATCGTAGCTGCTGAGCGTCGGGACAACTCGTGGCACTTTCAGCGGTGGACCAGTTGATGGGCCCGCGCCTTGTGCAGCAGCATGCCCACGCTTATTCGGGATCAATTCATCCGGAATCGGCAAGGCTGAAAAAGGTTTCGATGAGGCTGAATATCCAAGGCATACCGGTCGGGAGATTTGGCACCGGGTTGACGCGATAGTCGTTGCCGCCCTGGCGTTGGGCATATGGCGCACCCCAACGAATCGTCAATTTTCGGCTTTTCACGTAGGCTCGGTTGAAAGATCTATAAACAATATTACCGAAAAAAGAAAAGCTCCAACCTCTCGGCAGCCATTTCGGCTGATTCACGCGTAGTGTAGTTGACAAAAGCACAACCCTTGGCTGGAAGCAAAGACAGCTGCCGGATGTCTCCGTATTGGTAGAAATAGTCACTAAAATTCGTTTTGAAAAATGAATAATACGAACTTGAGATCCTTTTCAGTAATAACACCGGCAGGGCCGAGGTTGCCCACGTAGAGCGTCGTGATAGTAGTATCTTCCGGCGGATGTAGTGAAGGCAGCGCCTTAATTCGAATTATACTTCCTCACAAAAAATATACTGTTGCACGATTCAAGATCTTTTCGGCGACTGGGTCGTTGTTGCCGTAGTAGCGATCACGCATGTTTTGCTGGCTGAGTGGATCATCGGGATCCGTCGGTTTCTCGTGGCTAAATTCATGTAAAACTAGCTGAAATCAAAAATGCCTACCGATAGGGACATTCCTCTCCACGCTTACATTCTCCTTTCACGAAGAAAGAGCAAATGTGTGGGGCATTGCGCTTGTAGTAGGGCCCAGTGCGCTGGAGACGTCTAAAATTCGCGAGTTTAAAAATCTAATTCAAAACCATACTTGAGCATCTCGGTTCCAGGATGATCAGCTCCGATAGTAGCAAGAGCTCCGCCGGGTGTCGTGCCATCTGTAGCCGCCAAGGCGCGTTCTTGATTTTGGACAAAGAAATCCCTAAAACGAGAGGTGGTATTCAAAAAAGGACCGTACCGATTGGCGCCCTGGCGCGGCAGGTCATCGGTGATTTTGAGAGCATGATCACGGACTTGTATAGGGAGACCTAAATTACAAAAATAAAGAGAAAATCTAAATATCCCACCAAATTCCAGATCGAACATGCACGTCTGGCAACAGTTCTTGATCTTTGCACACGTCTGGCAGATTTCGGTCATCTTGAATCGGGCGCCCTTTCCTGGTTGCCAGCGGAAATTTGTGAAGGGGCGCTCGCAAATCGTACATTCCTTGCCATACGTGTCTTTTTGCTAAAATGGCGTGTGATGGCAAAAGAATAACACACTGACCATCCGTAGATATGGATTCGGGCCCAGGCATGTCTCGCAGAGGATCGGAAACTCTGAATCTTCCCATCCTTTGCGATTGTAGTTGTATGAGCTCTTTGACATCGACATCTCGGCTAAAATAAATACGCGTCATGGAAGCATCAAAACAAAATGAAATGGGCTTCGCTTATACTTCCGAAAATCTGATTCCCGAAAATCTGTTTCCCGAAAATCCGATTCCCGAAAATAGAATTCCCGAAAAATCCGAATCCCGAAAAATCTGAATCCCGAAAATCTGAATCCCGAAAATCCGGTTCCCGAAAAATTCGTTGCCCGAAAATCTGTTTCCCGAAAAATCTGAATCTGAAGAATCTGCGGTTTGTGAACTGAAAAAAACCCTGGTACAATTCAACGAGGCGGGGGGCAATCTGCGTCTCAGCGCCCGCCCTGCTCTCTAGGCACCCCTCTGCCTATAGGCCCACCTCCCCCCGCCGAAATCCTCACCCCCCGTCTATTTGAATTGTACCAGAACCCATTCTAAAGTTCCTGGGCGACTTCCAAGACGGTGAATTCAATATAGTTAATTTTTAACTTCGTTTTCTTCCAATTTGGCTTTTCAGAGCGCGGTCTTTCCAGGTTTGGATTCTGGGGCTCGGATTTTTCGGGGTTCAGATTTTCGGGAATCGGATTTTCGAGAATCGGATTTTCGGAAAACGGATTTTTCGGGATTCAGATTTTTCGGGAATCGGATTTTCGGGAATCAGATTTTCGGGATTCAGATTTTTCGGGATTCAGATTTTCGGGAATCACATTTTCGGGAAACAGATTTTCGGGATTCTCATCGGAAATCAATGAAATCCCATGAAAAAATACTGGAAAACTCGATATTTAGCTGTTGGCCGAAACCAAAAAACAGGATCATTGAAAGTTCCGCCGATAAAAGTAGACTTTATTATGTGATCAAAAACGAAACAAACAGACAACAATGGAAGACCGATATTATTCGCGGGAACCGGATAAATTAAAGCATCGGAATTAGGGCAAGTAGTTTATTGGGTCTTCAGAGCATCCCTGATCGCAGCGATGAGTCCATCTCGTGGAACATCCTAAACAAAATAAAAGAAAAATAAAGGATGCTTACCACATCACGTTCCCCGTCCTCCCGCTTCTTTTGCACAACCCGAAGTTTGACGACGCCCTCCTGGATTTCTTGTCCACCAACAATCAACATCAGCGGGATCTGGTTGCCTTCACAATACTGGCACTGATTCAGAAGCTTTGGGTTCTTTTTGTACGCCATTTCCGCCTATAAATCGGTAAGATGCTGAAAACTAGAAAAAAACCTTGATGCCATTATCCCAAAGCAGCCGCAACAGCTTCATCCGCTCTGCCAGCATATCATTCTGCGCGGACGCGACAAAGACCTCTGTGGAATTCGTGCGAGCAGGGACATCTTTCAGCTGAAACAGAAAATGAGACACCAAACACGAGTATTACCTTTAGTTGAGCCTCGCGAATCGCAAATAGGCGCTCAATGCCAAACGATACCCCGCAGCAAGGGACAGACAGTTTCCCGCCTGAGAAGCTCTTGACCAGTTCATCGTACCTGGAAAAATTTACATAAAGTTGAGAATTTGATACCTTCCGCCAGCGGCCACAGATCCAACACCAGCGGGCAATGCTTGACCATCGGTGGCTTCACCAGATTCCTTCTTCTCCGTAGCAGCGCGCTCGGCAATCACTTTCCGGACTTCCTCACCTAGAGGAGTATAAAATAAAAATAAGAAACAATTTACTTGGTTCAACGACGGCCTCATAGATAACACCCGTATAATAGTCGAGACCTCTCGCCAACGAGGGGTCAAACTGGACAGATGTCGCGCCATAGAGTGCCAAATATTTGAAAAGATCCTGAAAGATCGATGAATATATGATCAAAAACCGGACCTTTAATTCATCGGCTCCTTTTTGGAAAGCAGTATTCTGCAACTTTTCCAAGGACGCCATCTTTTGCAACGTTTCAATATCAGTAAGGCCTAAAGTGTATTTGGCGAAAAAGGAGTAACTAATACCTCCAACATCCTCGCGGAAAAGGACAAAACTTCGTAGAGTCTCAGTTTGCTCGAGGGACATTCCTTTTTCGTCGATCAACTCCTTTTGCACTTTCTCCCACGGCTCCTTGTCAAGTTTATCGATGGAAGAGCAGACGGTCTTGAAGTTAGCCTCGGGCACGCCGCTAGCCCCAATCATCGCATCGAGAAGTAGGCGGTGGTTTACCTGACATCCTTCATGCAAACACTGGTGAGCCAAGCTTACCTTGATTCGGAAATTTCCGACGTCCAATTTTGCCAGAACCTCATCAACGACTTTCAGGCATTCCGCCTCGGGCAGCATCTTCTCATATTCGCCGGCGATATCAAAGTCCTGCAAAAATATAATGCTATTCAAATTGAACCACCTACACATTGATAAAATTCACGATATCTTCCGCGCGTCATCACCGGCTGATCCCGTCTATAGACCTTGGCGATGTGGTATCTATATCGGACCCGTGATTGTGAAGACTTATGGATATACCGTTTAATATTCCGGATTTTGTTCATCGCCAAATACCGGGCAAAAGGCACCGTCAGGTCATAACGCATGCTCAGCAGCTCGCCGCCCTGGTCTTCCAGGTCGTAAATCAGTTTCCCGCCTGTAAAGCCGTTCCATAGCATTAAAATGGCGAGTACCGTCTTCTCCGTACTTTGAGTTCAGCACTTCTCGGAGTTCAAAAACAGGGGTATCGATTGTTTCCGCACCGTGACGCTACATGAAATTTTGGGCGATAGTGAAAGCATTACCTTAAAAGCATCTACGATGGTCGAGAAAACAGCCTCACGAACGGCCATCTCTTTCGGACCATAGTCCCGGGTTCCTAAAAACACAAATAATGACCCGAAAATGCTAAAATACCTTTAGGGCACTTCAGCACAAATTTGCCCGGCTTTCCTTCGTCTCCTAGTTGCTTCTTGAGGGCTAACATTTTGGCCACACGCTCCTTCACCTAAAAAACAACATCAATAAGTACTTTCGCCAGACTGCGAGCTGACCCTTCGTCCGCCGCGCTCCGCGTAGGCTTTTCCCAATGGGACCGGCCGTACCGTGGCAGAACCGGTACATAAGCGCAAAAAGATGCGCTGCATCGAGCGCCTCCGAGAGCCGGTAGGCGGGCCGAGGGTCTCGCTCACTGAAATACGTAATACATACCAGGTCAGGGTTCGCCTTCTGCTCTTTGAGACCGCGAATCTCGTTGCCCAGAGCGGTCACCTCCTCTTGGAGGGCCTTCCGAGCCTCGACGGTGAGCTCGCACGGCATCTTAGTGAGGTTTAGAAAAGAAGTAGGAACGTGAAAATTCTGGAAGAGACGGAGAACTAGAACAACTATCAAAAGCAACAACTATACACCTAAAGCCCGAGCGGTCATTTTAAAAAAGGGCTCCATAGTCATTGTCAACCTTTTTTTTAGTGGATACCAGGGTGATGAAAGCTCCCCAACTCTGCAAATGCAGAGCACGTGCAGGACGCGAAAGCCCACGTGGCCCTCTGCACGAAAGCCCACGTGCAAGAAGAAGTCCTCTTCTTAAGAAGTCTTGGCCAATTCTTATTCAATCTGATGCTGTTTTGCCAAAAGGTTCTATGCGCACAGCAAGTCGGTTGTGCCGTGTAGCGCCCGGAATGCTGCCCCGGATTTGTAAAAAAAAAAAAAATACTCACAAAGACATCAAGTTGATGAGGAGATAAGATGCAGAGCTTACGCCAACTGTGGTCACGGGGAGTTTATAAGAATCGTAAGAGCTCAACAAAAAAATCGTTGCGAGGGACATATCGTTCTTGCAAAACCAGAGAGAAGCTCCTAAATTCTACAAAATCGGCCGGAAAGCAGACAAATGGCTTTTTTTCATAAAAAATTACTTTATTTTGCGCAAAGAAACATCGAGGTAAAACCAAAACCGTCAGAGCCAAGCCAAAACCCGGGCCGAGGATTTCGTATCCCATCCCATCTCCCTCCCCGCCGCCTATTCGTTGGACCCCCTACCATAGCCCCCAAACTGCACTCGGACGTTTTCGGATTTTACTTAGCAGTTCTTCCGAATTTTTCCACTTTTCATTCGCAAAACGGACTGTCCCTTTCCCCATTTCAAACCGTGTTTTCCAAACTCCCATCCTTCACATTTTAGTCGATGTCCAGCAGCCTGCAGTCTGAGGCTTCAACGCTACTTGGGTCCCACATCTTCGTCACCGCCGCCGCGCAGAAACATTACGGAGATCGTCTCCTGCTCACTGACGTAGACCCCAACTACGCAGCACAATCCGCAAAGATGAGTGCCGGTATGGATTTATGGCTTTTGGTTGATGTGTGTGTTTTAGCCATTCTCGATGAACTGAAGAAGCTGCGCCAGGAAAACGGCGAAATCAAGAACCAGATCGCCGCCCTCCGCGAGCTGATCCAGGGAATCGCGGTCAGTTTTTCTTTACTTCTTGTTTATATTCTCTGTTATAGAAGGTCGGAATTTCGGGAGCGCCCGCAGCTGCTTCTTCCACCTCCGCCTCCGCCCCCAAGGAGGAGAAGAAGGAAGAAAAGAAGGAGGAGGCCGCGGATGACGACGACTTCGAGCTCTTCGGATCTGATGACGAGGAGGTAGGGACTATTTAGGGGCTGGTGTATTGTCATTTTCTAGGACGAGGAAAAGAAGAAGATCGTCGAAGAAAGACTGAAGGCCTACGCCGAGAAGAAGTCGAAGAAGCCCGGCCCGATCGCCAAGTCCTCGGTCATCCTCGATGTCAAGCCCTGGGATGATGAGACGAACCTTGATGAGATGGAAGCCCATGTCCGCAGCATCGAAATGGTAATTTTCTTTGCGTGTATCAAGCATTTTGTAGGGTCTTAGTAATGCATAACCAATTATGTTTTTCTTCAGGACGGCCTGGTCTGGGGTGGCGCCAAGAAGATCGCGATCGGCTACGGCATCAGCAAGCTGCAAATCATCACCGTCATCGAGGATGCCAAGGTCTCCGTCGATGATCTGCAAGAGAAGATCCAGGAGTTCGAGGACCACGTCCAGTCTGTTGACATTGTTGCTTTCAATAAGATTTAATTTTGTCATGCTACCACTACCATCGTTTTTTGATGTGATAAACGTTTTAGCCGCTCTTTGGTATCGCGTCACCGATATGGAACAGGGTCTATATTAGCGAGAGTTAGAAGTATTTCAGCTAGAATCCATCCTGGGCATATCAATATGTTGACGCAGAGGACTAGAGATTTTTTGGCCTTTGGTATTCTGTTAGCACGAGCCCGGAGCTATCCCTTGAGCCTTGCGAATGAGCAAAAAGAAATGCCAGCTGAAATGTGGCGGCACAAGATCTTGCGATGGGGGAGGCGTGAAAGCTGTGGGTGGCCGTTGTTTTTGCGGCGACAGATCGATGTGGAGGGCCTTTAGGGCGTTTTTTCTTGGCCAAAAACGAGAGGCGAGGAAGACGGGCCGAATTTCGTGCTCTTGAATCTGGCGCTTCCCGCTCTTCTTCGACGTCTCCGATGCCCCCAAGGGACGACGTCCGGAAGTATCCGGCCGCGGGCCCGTCCGACAATCTTTTGGAAGCGAGGAAAAGTTTTTTTTGCTTGATTTCCACTCGCTTCATTCCCACCTTTCCATTCAGGGCGCCCGTTCATTTCCTATGCCAGCGGCGGTGGTTTTGCGGGGACACGCTTCAGGCAAATGTAGCGCTTTGGCTTTCATTCATGGCGAATGGGGCGGTCATCTAGTTTTTCAGTGGTGGGTTCGCTATGGCTAGATCAGCTAATATCAGGCAGGTCTCGCAAATAATTTTTAATTTATCTAAATAATACTTTTCCGCTTTGTGGTAGCTCTAAAGCATTCTGTCCATTCCATTCATGGCTCACCCAACAGAGAACCCAGCCGTCTAATGGTAAAGCATTCGCAGCGATGGCCTGGGCGATTTGGGAGGTGGATGGATGAAGGAGAAATAGGGCCTCGGGGGTGGGGGCGATTAATCCTCACCCTTTTCCGGCGGACACGCCATCCGGCCGCGCCCTGCTTGATAGTTTTCCCCCCGCGCGCAATAAGGCTGCATGTGATGCATTATTTGCATTTTTTTCTGCTCGTTGCTGCTGGGCATTTTCCCGAATATCGGGCAACGAGGGGCCTCATTATGATCTTTTTCCGTTTATGGGGCCCTTACGTGGAGATTTGCTTTTGCAGGCCTTGGCTAGTTTTTAGTTTCTAATTTCTAGATTTTTTTTTTGGTACTGCGCTGTTAGCAAGGGGGATTTTTAGCAGTGGTAACCAAGTATAGCCTATAACAAAAACTAAACCGTTTGCAGGCATTTTAAGCAGTTTTTTTAGATATTAAAAACATATAAAAATTTCTGAAATTTCTGAAATTTTGGCTCTTTATCAAAAAAAAATATAAAAAGACCAAAAAAGGTAAACATTTCGATATTTGCGGTTTTTCCCAAATATTTTGTAACTTTTTAGCGGTCCAAAACTACTAAAAACACTAAAGATAAACTGATTGTTATTTCCCCCCTGCTAACAGTCCAGTACCGATCTTTTTCGAATTTTGCCTCCTGAAAACGTAGCTATAGGGGCAAAAGCATGACCTAGAGGGTTAGAGCTTGCGCCATCCAACGGACCACCAGCAGGATCACAGGCGTGGGGCTTCGAGAGGTGCCCCGGCTAGTGAGAAGAGGAAGAAAAAGGCAGTCTTCTGAGGGAGAGCTTCTGGTGGAGGCAAGCTCACTACTTCGCATTTCTAATGACTTCCAACGCATGCACGACACGCCCAGGGGGCGCATGGCCAAACCCGGGCTTTGCGCGCAAACGTCTGCTTTTCACCCATCGATTTGCCATTATGTACTTTTTTGATAATCGCTTCCACTGAATTTTGGGTTCTCAGGACCTAGAAAATAGATTTTTTAAGCTCTCCGACAAGCAGGGCGTCCCGCTTCTTGGAGCACTTGTGCAATAACGGGGGAGCTAACTTAAATTTGTTCGACATGCCCTGTAAGGCAATTTGAACTATTTGAACAACATTTTACGTTTTTTCAGTCAAAAGGAGAATGGTAACCCATTGCCAAAGGTTTGTCCCGCGTAATTAATATCAGCAATTCGGCAAAAAATTTGGTAATTTTTAGCCAGGGGAAAGCGAATTTTTATCTCTCCGCCTACCTGCCTCTTAATATTAATAATAAATCATGTGTTTTTATAGTGTTTTGAGTAGTTCCTTTTCAATAAGTTAAAGCAAGTGGTACAAAATATTAAAAAAATTATAAATATTGAAAATGGTACCCATTTCTGGTGATTTTTCTGGTACAGTTTTGACCGAAAAGTCACATTTTGGAAATTGAAATTTTCTGTGTGCTTTGATTTCTGAAAATACTGTGTAAAACTGTGTAAATGTATGTTGAAAATGGTTTTTTTTTTATATATGGCCCCCTCGGAAACATTGGGAAAATTAGTTATTACCACAAACCCTCTCAACAGTCGAAACCAATTTTTTCGCTAGTTCCATCGACATTTAATGCTAGCTTTCATTGGATTGCCATAATTCCTTTTATTTTGGCTGGTGAATGGGGGCAGTATGTTAGTGTTCGTGGCTCACTGACGACAGCTCATCAATATTTTGTGCCACGCCGTCGGCTGATTAGCCAAAGGGGCCGTCCTCCTCCGTGGGGAAGTGCCAAGAGTTGCCATTTTAAATTTTTACTCACATTTTCTTGCAAAATCTCATGCGGTTCTGGTTCATTAACGGGGAAAACTTTTTC